AAGGATGATCGTAGGTCCACCTCCGGTTATTGTGTCTTTGTGGGTGGGAATCTGATTTCGTGGAAGAGCAAGAAGCAGAACGTTGTCTCTCGTTCTAGTGCTGAGTCTGAATATAGAGCCATGGCACAAGCTGCGTGTGAAATAATATGGATATATCACCTCCTCAATGAAACTGGTTTCAAAGCTCCCATCCCTGCGAAACTATGGTGTGATAACCAAGCTGCTCTTCATATTGCATCCAAACCAGTTTTTCACGAAAGGACGAAACATATCGAAGTAGATTGCCACTTTGTTCGGGAGAAAATACAGAAGGGATTGATTTCTACTGGATTTGTGAAGACAGGAGATCAATTAGCAGATCTCCTTACTAAAGCGCTAAATGGCACCAGGCTTATGTATTTATGTAACAAGTTGGGCATGATAAATATATATGCTCCAACTTGAGGGGGAGTGTTATTAGTGTTAAAGAATATCCCACATCGGAACTTGAAGAAGAAATAAACCGGTATATAAGCCCTTGAGTTGAACTAACTAATCGATTGGATTCAATCTTTTAAAGTGGTTCAACCCAAGTGTCTTATTACCGAATCCAGTTATCCATATTCCATCCTAAATTCTATCATGGTATCAGAGCCAGTTTTAGCCCACCTCGTTTGTCAAGGTGTCCGTCTAGACGTTCATTCCTAGCGGCCCGTTTGTCTTTAGCCCAGTTGTCCGTATGGAGTATGTACCCAACGGCCTGTGGCCCGTTTAACACGATTGCTCGTCTGGAAGTCCATACCCAGCGGCTCGTGGTTATTTAGGTGTTGGCGTTAAAAAAAAAAAAGTCAAGGGAATGGGAGTTCATTTGCAAGTGGTCAACCGGTTAGATTCAAAATGGCCCGGTTGTCCACTTGAGGGGGAGTGTTAAAGAATATCCCACATCGGAACTTGAAGAAGAAATAAACCGGTATATAAGCCCTTGAGTTGAACTAACTAATCGATTGGATTCAATCTTTTAAAGTGGTTCAACCCAAGTGTCTTATTACCGAATCCAGTTATCCATATCCCATCCTAAATTCTATCAATTAGTAATAATATTAGTATTTTAGTTAAGTCCTGAGAATATGGCAGGATCTGATTTGGCCATTAATATGGGTGATTTAGGCATTAATATGGGAGATATAGTTTCCTTATATTAGCACCCTTCTTATGTATATATATATAGTCATTTTGTAATATGTAATTATGTATTATGAGGAAAACCTCTGATTATCAGTCACATTTATAAATAGTTTCTGTATTTCTCTAGTATTATGATTATTATCGGTGCGGTTCTTTTGACATCCACCTTCTTGGTGTCATAATATGCCAACAAACCATTTGGGGGCCCAACGGAGCACCGTAGGGCCCATTGACACAATATGATGACACCAAAAACCGCTGTCAAAAGAACCTCGATGTTGTATTATTTGATAAGAAAGAATTGGGGGTGATGCTAAAGTGGATCTTATTTTCAGGTTGATTCATTCTCCTGTTATTGCAAGGTCGACTCAGGCTTGAGAACTGTTGCTGGTGTGAGTAAATTTGTACCCGGTTCAAAACTTTGTATCCAGCCTGACATCAATCCTCGTGCACACAAGAGAAAAAGCTCTCGCAGGGAGAGGTTGAGAGTGCAACCACCTCTTCTTCCCGGCCTTCCAGATGATCTTGCAATTGCTTGTTTGATACGTGTTCCCCGTGCCGAACATAACAAGCTCCGTCTCGTATGCAAAAGATGGTATCGACTTCTAGCTGGAAACTTTTTTTACTCTCTGAGGAAAAGTCTTGGAATGGCAGAAGAGTGGGTCTATGTCATTAAAAGAGACCGTGATGGACGCACTTCATGGCATGCATTTGATCCAACCTACCAACTCTGGCAGCCGCTTCCCCCTGTTCCAGGTGAGTACAGCGAGGCCCTTGGATTCGGCTGTGCTGTCCTCAGTGGCTGCCACCTGTACTTGTTTGGAGGAAAAGATCCCAATAAGGGATCCGTGAGGCGGGTTGTCTTTTACAGTGCTAGAACAAATAAATGGCACAGGGCCCCAGACATGCTGCGCAAGAGACACTTCTTTGGGTCTTGTGTGATCAATAACTGCCTTTATGTTGCTGGTGGGGAATGCGAAGGGCTACGAAGAACTCTCTGTTCAGCAGAGGTATATGATCCAAACAGGAACCGATGGAGCTTCATTGCTGATATGAGCACAGCCATGGTCCCCTTTATAGGGGTCGTTTATGATGGGAAGTGGTTCTTGAAAGGATTGGGCTCCCATAGAGAGGTCCAGTGCGAAGCTTATGACTTGCAGACGAATTCGTGGGGTCCGGTCAATGATGAGATGGTTACGGGCTGGAGAAACCCAAGCATCTGTATGAATGGGAGACTATATGCATCAGACTGCCCGGACGGTTGCAAGCTTAAAGTGTACAACGAGTCTGAAAATCGTTGGAACAGATTTATTGACAGCAAAGTTCATCTTGGGAGCTCTCGCGCATTAGAAGCTGCTGCACTGGTCCAACTTAACGGCAAACTCTGTATAATTCGGAACAACATGAGCATAAGCCTTGTGGATGTTTCTAGTCCCACTACGAGAGTGGAGGAGAACCCCCGGCTTTGGGAGAATATCGCCGGAAAAGGTCACTTCAAAAACCTTTTCACTAACTTGTGGTCAAGCATTGCAGGGGTGAAGAGTCATATTGTGCACTGCCAGGTGCTTCAAGCATAGCAGTCCTGAGTTTCTGCATAAGAACAATGTTCTGTGTGAGAAGAGGGGTAACATAGATATTTCAAATTTTGTCAGATTCATATGTGTGAATAGGAACATCTCTCTCATAGCTTTGTACCTGTATATCACCTCTCATCCATAGGTGTTTGTAGCTGTATTCTCTATAGTGCCCTTTGTGAATATAAGTCTATCTTTAGCTTAATTCTCAACTTGCTTTGAATAATTTTGGACCCTTTTTTCTATCTTGATTTCTTTTCTTGAGCAGTTGGTTCTGTGTAAAATGTGAAATGTGATTGATTGCAATATACTTAACGCTTTGAATTTGGTCTGCACTGTGATTATATTGGACTAGGGGGTATAGTTATTGTTCTGTATAATTAAAATAAATTCTACAAACATGTGCATATGTGCAATACTGCATTGCCATGCATCGAGTATCAGAATTCATTTACTCTTTAGGTTAAAATGATTTCAATTCAGTTTACGGATTTTCTGATCCACCCCTACTACCCAACACATTTCACATGCTACGTGCATTCTTTTGTAGTCGCTCGAGGGTGTAAAAAAATTAAGGACATAACTTACAAAAATGAAAAAAAGAGCAAAAAGATACTCCCTCCGTCCCATTTTATAACGTCTATTTTGACTTAGGCCATATTTAAGGAAGGAAAAAATTAAGGTACTTTCCAAAATTGTCCCTCACTTAATTTTTTTTAAGGTGGGTAGGAGTAATTACATGGGAGGGTATTTTGGGAAATCCACATACATAATCATACCAAATAAGGAAACAGACATATCATTTTGGGACAGACAAAAAAGGAAAATATGCATTATAATTTGGGACGGTGGGAGTACAATACAAAGACTTCCTGGGGTGGGGTGGGGGGGGGGAGTCAATGATCCTAAAATGCTTCACTTCGAAGTTCTAATGGAAAACGGTATATAAATACTAGAGTAAATTTTATAATTGGTCATTTATAACATAAAATTTTCCTTGTTTAGTCATCTATTATGAAATATTACCCATGTGATCCTTCTTTTATGGATATTTTTTTTACAAATAGTCATTTTTTGACTTTTTGTCATGTTGGTATTAATTTGAGGATTAAAAGTGTAGTTTGACATCAATCTCATGTCCATTGACGTATTCTGACATTAGTCAGACCGACAACTCAACAATAATGACTACGACCCGACTGTGGACTAGGATTCCAATAAAAACCACATATGTAGACTATGTATGTAGTAGAAAGCAATTGCAATTCACAAACGACACATCAAGATACGACCTCTTGAATTGTATATGACAAAAAATATATATAATCATCATAAAATTATATTTTTAGTCCTTAAATTAACACCAATATGACAGAATATAAAAAAGAACTATTTATAAAAAAATATATCCATTAAAAGAAGAATTATCGAGGTAATATTTGATACTCCCTCTGTCCCATTTTAAATTGCATGTTTGCCTTTTTTCTCCGTCCCAAAATAAGTTGCATGTTAGTTATTTTCGTAAACTTTTAAAAATAAAATACCTAAACTACCCCTAAAATAACTGACTCTTCTTCACCTTATCTTCTCATTTATCATCACCCCTCATAAAAAGTAATGTCAATTTCGAAAAATTAACTCTATTTTTTATTTTCTTTAAATATGTCCAAAAGTCAAAACAAGCGATTTAAATTTGGACGGAGGGAGTAATAGATGACTAAATATAACACTTTAAATACTAGTATGATTGCATCCATTATATAGTGCACACACGATGTATTTATGTCCGGTGTATCACATCCAAAATAAGGCAATAAACTCAACTCGTTTGTTGTACTCATTAACCTATTTTGTGCGTTTGATCGCTTTATGTAGTCACCGGAACACGCTTTATGCAATAAACCCAACACGCTTTACATGCTCCGAGCATTCTTTTGTAGTCACCGGAACTTAAAAAGCAGTATTAAACACATTACTTGCCAAAAAATGAAAACAAAAAATGTCAAAGGGGTGTAATAGTAGTAGTAGTAGGAATCAGGTCCGTTTGGCAACTTCAACAAAGATAAAACAATGTTTCCAAAAAAAGGCCAATGTTATTGTAACACTTGCAGAATAGTGAGTCGCCATGTAGAGACTTGCCAACAACAATAAACAGCACCACATTTCTGTAAAGATTAGTTGCTAAAAAAACACAAATTTAGAGACACGTTTACATCAAATATGTGTGAAGCCAAATGTTAGTGTATCAGAGAAGGCGCAAACTTTGGAAGGCCGAAAAACTAGTTTTTTTATCCAAACAAGTCCAAAGATCAAAGCGATGTTAATGGAACCCATTGGCCAACCAAAACCCTCTAGTGTATGACAAAACCAAGAACTCTAATGCTCTCAACCTGTGATTCTCTCAAAAAAGTATAGGTATCCCATGTCTAGTGGAGGATTCCTCGATATCCCAACTTTTTCATCATTGAAAATTACCCAGGCACCGTCTTTGTTGATATGAGCAACATAATGACCGCATTGGGTTGAGTTACCGATATGGCTGACTACTCCCATGAGCTTATATCCTGTTTGAGCAAATTGAAGGAAAACCATTGGATTTTCAGAATCTATCATTGACTGTAAATAATGTACAAATGAAACCCATTGGATTTTCAGAAGATGATGATTATGATTATGATGAAAATAAAAATCTAAATAAGAGGGGAATGGACTGACTTCCTTCACCGTCAGGTAATGCGGCATCAACAACTGAATTTTCATTACTGCATGATGTGTCCATATCTGATTTCTCAGAAGCGTCCGGATTGTTAAATATCCAATCAGTGGCTTTCTCAATGTCACCTCCCTGTCGTCGAGGAGTAATAATAGTGATATTTATAGGAAATTTAAGTTTCAAACATTTTTAAAAATGTTAACGTCTGGAATAGAGAGGAATTTAAAAAAAACAATATCTGTTATCATACCGATGCCTTCAGAGCTTTCCTAGCCAAGTCCTCATGGAAACCAAAGGAAATCAATGTATCCACTTGTGATTGATCAACAACAGCATTTGGTCCTACTTGTGAAATTGGAGCATCAATGTCTGCAAAGAAAGATTAATTAATTAATTATTAATTAATTAATGACCTATCATGTCATGAGATAACATGCACTACTACGTATTTCCAAACTTTTCAAAACAAAATACCGGTATCTTCCATGTGAGCAAACAGCCAGTTCATTGCAGCCTCCACTCCGGCATTAGATGTGTTAATTGCAGCCTTCTGACAATGAAGAGAACTAAATCCCATTGACATGAGTTTAGAAACAATATCCTCATCAGCTACAGGCTGGTTTTGATCCTTAATATCCTCGAGGCCTATTTCCAACATGAATGACAGATGTTAAAGACAAGCTTCCATTGAATACTACTCCTACAGTCCCAAAAAGAATCATGTTTCTTCAATGTACACTTTCTATATTTGGTGAGGTAAAACTAGTAAAAATCATCAAATACAGTTATATTTCAGATTTATTTGATAGTTTAACTAAATTTAGAATATTTAACTTGTTTTGCATTCTTTTCTATATTTAAAAACATATGATATGATGAAAATTAAAATGTTTATCATAATTTTGACTTTTTTTATGAGACAAATATGCTGGAAAGAGTGACTCTTTTTATGGGATAGGAGTACTACTTAACGAACACCAGAAAAATTCATTATACTAGGCTGCTAGCATTCATAAACATTTATTTAATTTTTTTATTAATTAGAAGGTCCATACATTGTTATATGACCTAAGGTCCATGGTAGAAGCACTACAATTAGAAAAGAAAATGTGATAATGATACATAGAAGCCTTTGAAATAACTAAGGTGAGAGCAGACGCTATAGAAAGAATGAGATTGAAATCACAAAAATACCCACATTTTACACATAGCATCCGTAGTGTCTACCGAAGAACCAAATATGGCAATTCCCTAAGATGCGTAAATTCTTGGTTATTTTTTAAAGGAACTAGAGTGGAAAACAACTAACAAGAACAATATTTACTCTTGTTTCCAATGGGTACAATACTGTTCTTGTTAGTAGTTTTCCAGAATATTTACCCTGAGTTGTTTTCCAATGATACACGGAATACATGCTTGACCCAATGTAAGAGAAACAAGTGAGTAAAGACTAAAAAATGTTGAGCACCACAAAAGCGAGTAAGTTTCGCTGGTTCAACCCAAAATAAATGTTGAACATAAAAAAATCTCTAAATAATGCAATCGGGGACTTTTGAAGTCGATGCTTCTGTTGGCCATTTTGATTGATAATCACATGTTGCAGACCAATAATCTATCATACATGTGACCATCAATAAAATACAACATTTTCAATGTTGAAATGCCATAACATTTGAATTTGTGTGGTTGTGCACAGGCATGAAGAGAAGCCGAGATAGCAATGGAAAATGTGTGTGTGCGTGAAGATATGCTGAGAGTATTATTCACTAGTTAACTTGAGAAATAACAAAATTGATACAACCCACCTTCAGGTAATTGCTCTTCACCAGGTTGAAGGCCCTTGCTGCGCATATTACTGATGTCTATGATGTCTGGAACATCAATATAGACATCTACAAATGTAAACCGGAAGGAGGGAATTAAATCCTGGCAATTAAAGGTGCACATTACAAACAAAAGATAGCTTGTGAAGAAAAGTATACCTAGTTTTTTGGGAACCCACCCTTCTTCCATTACAAATTTCCGCATGTGTAGGACCAGATAATCAGGAAAAGAAATTAAACCAGCAGTTCTATAAGAGAAACAAGTGAGTAATGAGAATCGGGTGATTGTCTTAAGAAAATCTTAAATTACTGATAGACAGAATAAGTGATCACTTGATTGCTGTTGTTTTTGTTTTCAAGGCAGAGCTGTAAAAATCATGAATCTGTTCTGGAGCTGAAAAGCAATCCAGACAATCCTTTAATAGCACCCTTGGGCGAACAATTTCATCTGCTGGTCTGAGAAAATTGTGTTAATTAGCAAGATTGAAATAGAAAGACATGTACTATTCTTACCAGAACTTACATTTCCTTTCCCTCTGCAGCCTTACTAGCCTTAGACTTTTGAAACTCTTCAAGTTCTTCTGAAATTCCAGAAGATAAAGTTTAAGAATTAAGATTGAGATTGTTTTGCAATAAACAAAACTGTAAGAAAGATAACTGACTTTTGTTAACAGCCTTGTCCAGTGGAATATTCAGAGAGAGGAT